GCCTGCTGAGTTTCGTCTTCCTTCTCCTCCCGCGCCGCCCGCGCGGGGGGGCCGGGAGGCCGCCGTCTCCGACGGGCGCTCTTTCCGCGATGGCGCGCGCGCGCGCAGCCCTGGCGGGGCCCGCCGTCGGCGTCGCCGAGGCCGAGGGGCGGAAGCTGCGATGCTGTGTCGGGGCAGGCTGAGGCCGCGACCGCCTTTGCGACGACGCAGCCGCGGCGTCGCCAAGTATGTGGTGGACAAAGGGCGGGGCGTCAGACATCGAGCAGTTACTCGACGCAGAACAGTGACCAGCGCGGTCAGTATCAGGATCGCTGGAATCGTGGTTTTCGTTGGGATGATTACAAGTAGGGTGGGGGCTGGGCATGCAACGGTGTCAAACCGACGTGGGGTCGGCGGTCGTCGGAGGATTGCGACACGAAATTACAGATCACGCTTTTCAAGTTCAGGGAGCAGAATGCTGGCGGGGGCCCAGGCGGCCCAGCCGCCGCGGCACTACGTGCTGAAGGCGAACAGGGCAAAGTACTTGCGCAAGAAATCCAACGTTCACTTTTGAGCCTGTGCACCTGTATGCGGGGTGCGTCGGCCCGCTTCGACCATGCATGTGGGAGGTCTGGCGGGGTGGTCGTCGCCCCTGCCCTGGCGCTGCAAGGGCTCTCGGGCGTCGGCGCGGGGGGGGGAGGGGGGGGCGCGGGGGGGGGGGGCGGGGGACACCCCCCTCCTCGTGGTGGTCGGCAGACCGCGGTGCTCTGTAGGCCAGGTGCGAAGTGCGCGGCTTGCGCGGCCCGCCGCGGGGGGAGTTGTCATAGCTCTCTCCGCGCTCGACCCCCGCGCTCGCCGCCGCGGCCGCCGCTGCCCGCGGCTGTCGGACGTCTCTTGAGAGATCGGCTCGATGGCCGAGCCGCGAGAGGGAAAGCGGAGCCCGGGCCCTCGCGTCGTAGTCGCCCCATCCTCCTTGCGCCTTGCACCCTCGCTCCTCTATCACAGCTTAACGGATTGTTGATTATTCCGAAGCCCATCTGATAGACCCATCATGAGCGATGATACCCCGATTTTACCATCAGCATCTCATCCCACCTTCGCCGAGAATCGCGTTTCCCTGGAGACTGACTGATGCTTCTGCTGAGGGTGATGATGTTGATAATGATGATGGTGGTGGTTGTGGTGCTGATTTGAGGTATGATGCTGCTGGTGATGATGGTGATGCTGATGGTGATGATGATGATGGTGATGGTGATGACGATGATGATGATGGCGATGATGATTGCGGTGGTGGTGATGATGTAGATGATGACGGTGTTCATGATGCTCATGATGAGTGACCATGAGTGATAATGAATGGTTGGGGTGGTGGTGATCGTGATGAGGATGATGATAGCGATGATGACGATGACGATGGCGATGGCGATGGCGATGACGATGGCGATGACGACGACGCCGATGTTGATATTAACGGTCGTGTTGATGGTGATGATGACGGTGACGATGATGGTGATGATGAGGTTAATGACGATGATGACGATGAGGATGATGGTGACGATGGTGGTGATGGTGGTGATGATGGTATGGTGATGGTATGGCATTGTAGTTGTGATGATGGTGGTGGTGCTGATGATGGTGATGGGAATCTGGATCTGGATGAGGACGATGAAGCGGTGGATGCTGGCCGTGCGCGGCACCGGGCGGTGTCCCCGCCTCCCTGCGGGGGGCCGGCAGCCCTTCTGGCGGCGCTGCCGCGCGGGCGCTCAGCACGCTGTCGGCCGTGCAGGCGCTGCCCGAACACCAGGATCCAACTCCTCCTGCTCATGCTCCTGCTCCTGCTCCAACTCCTCCTCCCCCTCCTGCTCCTCTTCCTCTTTTTCCTGCTCCTCCTCTTCCTCCTTTTCCTCCTCATGTTCCTCCCCCTCCCCTTTTCCTTCTCCTCCCCCTCGTTGTTTTCTATTCAGAGGACGACAGGATAACATCGGTATAACATATACGTTCGGCCATCGGGGACGCCTGTGCCAGGACGATTGGAAAGCTTATACCACAACTTGCCACCGTAGGGGTATGAATCATGAACTTTCCAGCGCCCCAAGGACAGGCGTCCCCGATGGCACAAAAGCTTGCGTCAGGTCCCCCCATTCCGCTCAGATTTTTTGGGTCGGCGCTGGACCCCCCCTGGCGGCACCCTTGGTGCGCTCCGCGCGCAAGGGCGGGCGGAAGGGGGCCCAGCGCCGACCGACAAACAACAGGAACGCGCTGACCTCCGAGAGTTTGTGTTCGTCTTGTAGTCCCTTTTTCCATCCTCCTCGTCCTCACCTCTCGACCCAGAAACAGACGACACCACCTCACCTACGGCCCTCCATGTTGCGTTACTGCCCATCTGGCGCCGTAGCGTATACCACGCAAAAGGCCGAGCCGGAAGTCATAGTATGTGCGTGGGCCGTGGGGCCACTGGTGGGGTGGTGTCGTTTTTTGCTAGTCCAATCCCCGCCCCGGCCCCGCTCCTCCTGGCCCCCCTTCCCGACTCTCGATCCTTGCGCGGGTCCGCTTCTCTGCCTCCCCGCGATGCTCGTCTGCAGGGCGCTGCCAGCGGGGGCCACCTGTGCGGGATATCTCCAGCGCTCATGGCGTGTGCGATGCCCTTCCCGCTCGCATGGCAGCGGCGGCCTGGCGGTGGCTGATTCAGCTACTGATCCGAGGCTAACCGCGCCAATCGCGATGGTCCCCCCTCGCACGCGCTCGCGTTCTTCGCGTCGCTGAGCAGGATCCAGCAGGGGATCGACGACGACGCGATGAAGGAGTACAACCCGCAGGTGGATGATGCAGCTGAGGATATCGATCAGCACTATACTCTCCGCCCCTGTGGCTCATGCAGCTGCGGCAGGCAGCGGCTGATTCAGCTGCTGCTCACATCGGCATCGGCGCGCCCTACATCCATGCTACATGCGCGACGACGCGGCCGATTCAGCTGCTGCCCGTCCGTATCAGAGCTCTTCTGCTCCGCGGCGTGAAGATTTGAAGTGCGATTTGGCCTATGACGCCTCACGCAAGCGCTCTGCGTTAGGTCGCGCAGAGCGTCTGTGCCCTTGTACCCCTATGCCCGGCCTCCGTTCTGGACACCTGTCCGACGCTGGAGCCTCTGCCGCCGCCGTTGCCGCCGCGCGGCGCCTCTCCGCCGCCGCCAGCGTCGGCGTCCCCCGAGTGGCGGCCAGCGGCGGCAGACCCGCGGCCGAAGAAGAACGAGAAACACAACAGAAAGGTTTGGCTTATCCGCCTGTCGTGCGTCATAGATTTGGGAATTATCCCGGCAAAGCAACCTAACAGCGATGTGTAGAAGCATATCTGAAAGCATTCCCCTTAAGATTCAGATGAAAATCCAGTTGTAGAATTCTGCTGTTCTCGCAGTCGTAGTCGCATTCGCGATGACAGTCGCAGCGGCAACGGCAGTCGCAGTCACAGCCTCAGCCTCAGCCTGCCTCAGCCTCAGCCTCAGCCTGCCTCAGCCTCAGCCTGCCTCAGCCTCAGCCTCAGCCTCAGTCTGCCTTCAGCCTCGGCCTCAGCCTCAGCCTGCCTCAGCCTCAGCCTGCTCAGCCTCAGCCTCAGCCTCAGCCTGCCTCAGCATCAGCCTGCCTCAGCCTCAGCCTCAGCCTGCCTCAGCCTCAGCCTCAGTCTGCTTCAGCCTCAGCCTCAGTCTGCCTTCAGCCTCGGCCTCAGCCTCAGCCTGCCTCAGCCCCAGCCTGCCTCGACCGCAGCATCAGCCTGCCTCAGCATTCAAAATGTGGCCCAGGAAAGGGAGTTCTGGGAAGTCGAAGAGCACGAAGTGCCTACAGTTGGCTCCGGGCATTCAAAATGTGGCCCGGGAATGGAGTTCTGGGAACTCGAAGAGCACGAAGTGGCCTAGAGTTGGCTCCGGGCATTCAAAATGTGGCCCGGGAATGGAGTTCTGGGAACTCGAAGAGCACGAAGTGGCCTACAGTTGGCTCCGGGCATTCAAAATGTGGCCCGGGAATGGAGTTCTGGTGACTCGAAGACCACGAAGTGGCCTACAGTTGGCTCCGGGCATTCAAAATGTGGCCCGGGAATGGAGTTCTGGGAAGTCGAAGAGCACGAAGTGGCCTACAGTTGGCTCCGGGCATTCAGAATGTGGCCCGGGAATGGAGTTCTGGGAGGTCGAAGAGCACGAAGTGTGTGATTGTTGGCTTAAAACGACTTCTGCGGCACCCTGTCCGGCACCCGCCCAGACCCCCTTGTGGAGTCATCTGCTGCTCTCTTTTGACCCCACTAGAAACCTATCAGTCTTCGCTGTTAGGTAAATACGTTCCTTTTCCTCCCCTTCGCTTCCTCCTCCTCTTCCTCGTCCCCCTCTTCTTCTTTTTCCTCCTCCCCCGCAATTTTATTTTTCCTCCTGCTCTGTCTCCCTCGCCTCGTTCTCCTCCTCCTCCTTCTCCTCCTCCTCCTTTTCCTCTTCCGTTTCCTCCTCCTGTTCCTCCTCCTCCTACTCATCAGCATTATTCTTCTAAGCGTCACTTTGAACAACCTTGTGCATGCCACGGTGAAACAGTTAAGAAGGCCTGTGAGACAAGTGAGCCAGATTGCCCCTTAAAGCACCAGCCTGAGGAAGGGATTCCACCAGGGAGTTGCGTTGTTTGAAGCACCTCGTCCATGGGACCCCATCCCTCGGGACCCCTTCTTTGAACCACCCAGTTCTCAGGAGCGGCACAGGGAGCTGCAGGTGCACCTCGACGTGATCAGGCGCTGCGATGGGGCGATCACCGCGCAGGGCCTCATCGCAATGGGCATCTTCGAGCACCGCGGTCGGCCGGCCGCGCCCGATCCAGAGGCCAAGATCTCCGACGATCTGATGTTATCGATCCCAGCGTTTTTCCTTCATTTCGGCAGCCGGTGCTCTTCCTTCACTTCGGCATCATGGTCTCATTTTCGGGCCCCTGGGCCATCCAAAATGGATCCAGGGGCGAGAAGCTGGCCCTGGGGAAGGTCGGAAGAACTCGCATCTCCGGATGTCTGGGCCCGAAGGTTTGGAGGTCCCGGGCAAGAGTCGAGACGGCAAGCCTGCCGTATTTTGGTGCCCCCCCCGGCGGGCCAGCTTCGGATTTTGTGGGGCCGTCGGCTGGGGACGGCTCGGGACGAGCAGCTCGGCCCTGAAGGTCCTCATCGCGGAAGAACACGATGCTGCGGGCGCATGGGTCAGCGCAGCCAAGACGGGCCTCCAGCAACGGGTATTCCAGCCGCGCGCAGGAAGGCGTCGGGAAAACGCAGCTCTCGCGCAGTATGGCGCAGGAAAGTGGCGGCAGGAAAATATCGGGAGGGAAAGAAACACACAGACACAATTAATCGTCGACCCCCCAGAAAATATGGGAAAATATGGGAATTGGGGGGGAAGACAAAAACCCAGAAAATATGGGAAAATATGGGGGATCTTTTTATTTGTGTATATTTATTTGTGTGTCCTGGGGCCCCTTCAAAATAGCACCGTCAGAGGGACGCCAACGACTTACCACCACCAGCCTGGCCAGGCCCATCCTGGGCCTTGGAGTGGGCAAGGTGGGCCTGGCCAGGGCTGGCGGTAGGGTTTTGTTCGGAGCTCTCTGACTCAGGAGGGGAAAAAACACACAGACACAATTATTCGTCGACTCCCCAGAAAATATGCGAAAATATGGGAATTGGGCGGGAAGACAAAAATCCAGAAAATATGGGAAAATATGGGGAATCATTTTATTTGTGTGTATTTATTTGTGTGTCCCAGGGCCCCTTCACTGACGCCTTCCTGCACCGACCAACGCTTCCGTCTCCTGAGTACGAGCAGCCACCAGGGTGGTGTTGAGTGGGCGGCTGACTACGCCAGGGTGCGTGGCCTTGCAGGACGGTGGGCGCCCTGGGGGTGAGCGTTCCAGGGCGGGCTCCTAGGGGTGAGCGCCCCAGGCCGATCAGGGCCGGCGCCGCTACTCTCACAAGCACTGACGCTCGACTTGGGGCGCATCTGCTCGGTTGTCTGCTGAGGCCCCCGGCGTACCCCGCACGGTCAAAAGCCTCGGTTTGGGAAGCCGTTGCCATCCTGGCTCCGGGTGTCCTGGAACCCTCGCGCGGCTGATCTCCAGAGGCCTCCTCCAGTCAGGAGCGAAAGAAGGACGTACATGTACATGAATCCACGCTGGTTTCGAGAGCACGCGTTGCACAAATGGTCGTATCACGCGGCCGGTCTCGCGAATCGAGGGGCCGTGTTCATGTACATAGCTGGGCGCGCACGTCCTTTGTGGGCTCCCTATCCAGACGCCTCCTCGTGCAATGACAGTCAGATCGCGACGGGAGGATCTTGGCCGCTCTCGGCCGCCCGGGCCAGCAGCCGGCCCCCGCGAAAGAGCCCAGACGGGTGTCCACGGTTCTGTTTCACCACGTACATCTTCAGGAGGGAAAAAAACACACACAGACACAATTAATTTGCGATTCCCAGAAAATATGGGAAAATATGGGAAGTGGGGGGGAAGACAAAAACCCAGAAAATATGGGAAAATACGGGGAATCATTTTATTTGTGTGTATTTATTTGTGTGTCCCAGTTTCCCTTCACATCTGATTACAATCGTTCACCCAGGGTGGGCCCCGGACATTAGGTTACGGATGTTTAAGCTATGTGGTGCAGTGTACGTGGTGCACGCTAGAGGCGGCAACGGGCGTCAACGGGGGGGAACCTGGCCGGACCTAGGCGGCGACGGGCGGCAAGGTGGGGAAACCTCGCCAGACCCACCCAGCGCACGAGGCGGCAACGGATGGCAACGTGGCGAAACCTTGCTGGACCCGCCCTGCGCACGAGGCGGCAATGAAGCGGCAACGTGGGGAAATCTCGGCAGATCCACCAGCGCACGAGGCGGCAACGAGGCGGCAACGGTGCGTCGACGGGCGGCAGTGTGGCGAAACTTCGCTTCATCACCCAGCGCAATAGGCGGCAACGAAACGTCAACCGGCGGCACCGTGGGGAAACCTTGCGGGACCCATTAAATCCTTCAGAGAAACAAGTAAGAGCCCTGGGTGCGAGCACATTAAATCCTTCAGAGAAACAAGTAAGAGCCCTGGGTGCGAGCACAGTTTGTGGAGGCCCAGCGAAAAGGCAAGATCTAGCGGACCTTGCCGATTGGTGCCGCCTTGGCAGGTTCTGTCTGGTTGTTCTTGTGATGGGCCATCACGTGGCGGGCTTGGGAAAGAAGGCCGAGGAGGAACCAGGCAGAGCATGTGGAGGCCCAGCGAAAAGGCAAGATCTAGCGGACCTTGCCGATTGGTGCCGCCTTGGCAGGTTCTGTCTGGTTGTTCTTGTGATGGGCCATCATGGGCTCTCCGGCTCTTCGGTCCAGTGAGCAAAAATGGGCTGGGAGGAACCAGGCAGAGCATGTGGAGGCCCAGCGAAAAGGCAAGATCTAGCGGACCTTGCCGATTGGTGCCGCCTTGGCAGGTTCTGTCTGGTTGTTCTTGTGATGGGCCATCATGGGCTCTCCGGCTCTTCGGTCCAGTGAGCAAAAATGGGCTGGAGCATTTACAACGCGCTGAAATAAAGACCCTTTGGGGTTCAGGAGGGGCTCTGGTTCTGAGGTCGTTCATTCGGTTCATGCCGAGGAACCTAATCGTGGCCGACGCTCGCCGTGGCCAGAACAAATGTTGCTCTTCTCTCCCTGCTCGCTCACCACCGCCGCCCGCCGCAGCTATTCCGGCTGTATGGTTACCAGTGAGGAGGAGCGCCTTGCGCGGGCACCGCGGGCCCGTCGGCGCGAGAGTTGAAAGGTGGTGGACCGTCGTCTTTGTCGTCGTCGTCCGTCTTCCTCGCATTTTTTTCCCGCATACAGTTGCTCATACTGGGAGGGGGGACAACACACAGACACAACCCATCGTCGACCCCCAAGACATATGGGAAAATACGGACAATGGGTGGGGGATGACGAAAATCCAGGAAATATTGAAGATATTAGGGGTACCTCTAGGGATGATGGGCTTCGTGTGTATTCATTTGTGTGTCCCAAGGCCCCTTTCATCATAGCTGAACTGATTGACTAAGGAATCCATGTCGGAGACGTATCTTGGGCGATGAGACCAACGCTTTACTTCCACCTCACTCTTGCAAAAAACAACGTTCCTTCTTGGCGAATGACTGGTTAGCAGCCGAAAACTCGATTGTCGCATATGGCGTGCAAATGGCCGTAAGCCGTGATCGGAATTCGTACGCTTCCCCAGGGGCAGCGCTAGACCACTTCTAGCTTCTCAACCACTGACGTAGTATTGATCATGAGCGTTCAGCCGCTATGGAAAACGATGATTTGCATTCGGAAATTACATCCATCAGAGAAAAAAAATAATGGCCGCATTTCAGACGGACTACGCAAACGACAGCGCGGTGGAGACGCCAGAAGGGAAGCGCCCGAAAGGACCTGGCGGCGTAAGCATGGAGCATGGCTCGCCCATGCAGGTTTCCAGCCAAGCAGGGAATTCGCTCGGGGATCAGATTTGTCCAGCTATGCAAGAAGATCCAGGGTCGACCGCTGCTCCGGCGTTGTCTCCAGGTAGTATTAACAGAAAGTCACATCCTCGATCCCCGGTAGCATGGGCGGCGGCCGCGGCGACTCGCGTTGCCCGGGTGCCTCGTCGGGGCCGGGCCGCGCAGGCGGCGGCGCGGGCGATGCGGCCGCGGAGTTGGCGATCATTTTCGAGGAGTCGCAGCAGGTGGATGGCCGCCGCGTTCCCGGGCGCGTCGGCTCGCAGCTGCCGTTCTACGAGACTGGCCAGGGGGGCGCTGGCCCAGAGGTATTTGCCGCCCATCGTGCGTGGCGCACGCTGAACTTTTCAACTTCCTGGAGACGCCGCTGGGGCGATAATTCCAGCATTCTGTCCACTACGGACCCTTGCAATTGGTTATGGTGATCATGTGATTTTCCTGATTGGGATTTCGTAGATCTTGACGCGCGAGGGCCAGCCTCGGACGTTGTATTTGAGGGCGCGTCGTGGGCAAGCTTGAGCCGCGTCCACGCCCGTGCCCCGCGCCGCTCTGCAATGCCAGCCTCTCGCGTCTTGAGTTGCGAGGTTGCCTGCCTCCGCTCGCGGGGGCGTCGGCCCAATTGCACCATTGCTCAGCGATGTTTCGGGCGCAGTTCTCGCGGCTCGTTTAGAGGGCGAGCTCGGCGCGCGCCCCCCCCCCCCCCGCCCGCCCACCCCCGCCCCGCATAGGCCGTCGTTCCAGGGCCCGCCCTGTTCCTCGAGATGCCCCCGCCCGCCAAGAGAAGCCATTCGCCGGGCGCGGCCCCTCGCCCTGCGCAATCCCCCTCCCCCGCCCGCCCTCGCCCGAGCCGCGCTTCTGCGCGGGGTCTTCGGAGGGCGGGGGCGCGGGGGCGCGGGGGGGCTGCGCGGGCGGAATGGCGGGTCGCATTGGGCGCGTTTTCCAGTCTCGGGCCCGCCCGCTGCAGGGGCGCGGCGGGGGGCGCGCGACGGCGCGGACTGCAGACGTTGGGCGGCCATCGGGGGGGGGGGGGGGGGTGGGGGGGGGACGCGAAAATGGGGTGCGACGGGCATAGGGGCGCGGGCCATTAGGGGGGGGGGGGGGGGGGGGGGGGAAAACTGGGCAACGCGAAAGGGACGACAGCGGAAAGACAGCGCGAGGGCTGCCAATTGGGGGCGGGGCCGGGGAGCGCGCCGCGTCGCCGACGCAATCGCGGATGCTCGCGTCGCGATGCATCGGCGACGCGCCGGCGATGCGCCGGCGACGCCAGCGACGCATCGACGACGTCGGCGCGAGGACATCTGGCCCCGCATCGAGCCGCGCCCGCGTCGTCGATGCGTCGGCGACGCGGGGCCGCCCTCCGACCGCGTCTACTCCGACCCCATCTGGGAGGCCTAGAGCAATGCCGCCTAGCTATCGTGGCTCGCTGCGCCTACGGGGCGGCCCGCGCGGCCCGCGCTGCGACCGTGGCCGACGACCTCAGCCCGTCGCCCCCGGCCCATCGCCCGCGTCTCTCTTTCCGTGCGCGTGCGTCTCTCTTTTTCTGTGTTTTCTTTTTTGTCCTC